AGCACATTTTGTGTGTGTGATGCTGCCTCTCACATATTCGCTGTTTTAGCAGTAGATGTAAACCGTTTGTAGGAAATGCTTCGTTAGCTCAGACAAACACATCCCTGCTCCTCCCTCACCCGCCTCCATACGTCTCCCCCTCCCCCAGTATGCAGATCCAGTGACGGACCTGCTGGATCAGTGCGGCGTGTTCCGGACTCGGTTATTCCGGGAATCTTGTGTATTCCACCAGGGCTGCTATGTCAAAGACCTGAGCCGGCTGGGCAGAGATCTCCACAAAACCCTCATCCTGGATAACTCTCCTGCCTCTTACATCTTCCACCCAAACAATGCTGTGAGTTTGAACGTTGATTAACCTCCTCGTGTTTAAATAAATGACCTCAAACTTGATACGATGGATTTTAGCACTTTCGTCACTAACATCTCATTTTATTTTATTATTGATTCATTTGTAGAGGATTTCCTTAATTTATGAATTAAGCCGTAGAAAATAGTAAAAAAAATACTCGTCATTATTTCCTAGAGCTCAAGTTGATGTGATCAGAAGTTTCGATTCGCCCACATCCAAAGATACTCGATGTCGTCTCGTATTCGACAAATGAATGCAGCAAATCTCACACGTGAAAGGCTGGAACGAGATAATTTGGGGATTAATCAATTATCGTAAAAAGTTGCTGAAGGATTTTCCGCCTGATTCATAAATAATCTGCAGAAACATCACATTCAATGGTTATTCAAATTATACACCTGTTAGGCTCATTTTATATAAATGATAACAACAATGTCTTTATTTAGCATTTAGTAAAAAGTAAGAAGAAAACACCTCGCATGAATGAGCATTACCATGAAAGCACAGAGGACTCAGCCTGCTCTACTCAGGAGCTCTTATTTCAAACCTCTGTCCCCTGAAGTCTTCAGCCGAGAATCAGAGGATCTCAGAGTGTGAGCGGGGGTGTAAGGAGATGAAAGATCAGCAATATGCCGAGAAGTCAGACCATTAAGTGTCTGGAAGTACTTGAGAGAATCTTAAAATCAATTTGGAAAGTACAAAGTAAATAGACCACAACTAGGGTGACGTGCTCCAACATGTTACTCTGGTTAAATGCCCGGCAGCTGAGTTCTGTGCAGCGTGGAGACGCTCCACAGATTTTCTAACTATGCGAGTATAAAAGGTGGTTGCAGTAATCCAGGCGTGATGAGAGTGAAGCACGCAGAATAGTTCCTGTATCTCCAAAAGAATTCTGACAAAAGCACGTTTGTTAAACTTTGGTTCAGTCTGTTCTGATGGTGACGGTTTGATTTCTCCAGGTTCCTGTGGTGTCGTGGTTTGACGACGTGGAAGACGCCGAGCTGCTCAACCTTCTGCCCGTGTTTGAAGAACTCAGTCAAGCTGACAACGTTTACACCCGGCTGGACCAGCTCCGTGGACATTAAGCTCTCATCGGCTCCTGTTTGAGCTGCAGCTCGAAAAACCTCTTCAACTTCAGTAGAACAGATACGATCCAGATGTTATTCTCCTCGCCTCTGCACAAAGCGCCTCTGTTGTTAAAAAATGCGTATTAGCGCCGGGGTGAAGGAAATTCCCAGCTTGAAAAACACAATGTCCTCGGCTCAAAAAAAATTTAAGATGGCTATCTGAGGCCTTTCCTCTGAACCTGTGCTCACAATATCGACAACCACTATTTGAACGTACCACGAGAAAAAGCAGGAAACAACAACCAAAGCAGTTAAATCACAATCGCTCCAGTTAGTGTGAACATTCACGTGGTTCTCTTGCCAAAGCAGAAGCCTGCCTGCCCTGACTTGACTTGTGGACGTTGTGTTTTTGAGTATTGTGCCTTTAAGGAACAACAAAATAACATCAGCTCTTTTTTTACAATTTCCACCAGATTTTCTACATTTATCGATTTCTTTTTATAGGTTGTTTATAAGGAAATCTATTTTTAAATGGTGAACACGGTTCTTCTATGCAACACACTTCTGTAACGGCACGGACAGCACCTCTGAATTCACTGCGTTCAGCAGATGCAAACGTAAGTGTAGCCTTATTTACCTGTAAACATGCAGCAAAGTAGAAAAACGTATTTTACCCGTTTGTACGAGAAACATCATTTCTACAGGACATGCAAATGTGTATCACGAGCGATGAGACGTGTGTGATGTTATTGGTGATATGTTAAGTAAACAGAGTGAAATCTTGTCTTTGATGGATCCGTTGAAAGCAGACACACTGGAATATGTCGGCACATAGGACGACCAGACACGCCACCGTTTTCAGCCAAGGTTTAATCATAGCTCATTTGTTTCATGTTCTAGTTTTATGGCGTGTATGACAAACAACGTGCACTTGTTTTATACTGACAGTGCTGAAAGTAAAAAACTGTGCCTTTCGGAATTGGGACAGAGAATGGTGTTCTGCCTGAACAGAGATTTGTAGACCTACGTACTCTGATGTGTCATGCTGAGCGTGAGAAAACACTGTCACGAGCAGGTGTATTGCCATGGGGCTGTGGTACTTGCAGTGCAACACTTGAAAATATCAAATTTGAGTTTTGTTAACATGTATGAGTGTTTTTTTTTTTTCTGTATTTATTGGCCAAAAACCTGTATTGTCCAGTACTTCTTAATGCTTAACATTTCGTATTGTGCTCCATACGCCTACTCTGAGGCTGGCCTTGCGTTTTTGACTGTTTTATCTGTGCCTAACAAACACGTTGCTGTCGAAGTTCATGGCTAATTCAAGAACATGAGCAGATAAATCAAACAGATGTAAATGAAAGATTCAATCATGCAAGAAAACTTTCTTTTTTTTTTTTTTCTTTTTCATTTTGAAAATTCATTACAAGAGATATTTTGTGGGGTTGTGTTTCCTGGGAAATTTGGGTTTTTTTCTATGACGTTTAATGCCTGATGCGATTATTGCCTGCATGTTAACTAGTGAAATAATGACAATGAAAATGTACCAGTTGTGATGACCAAAAGTATTCGTTTAGACAGTCACAATTTGTCTTTGTGTATCAGAATAAATCAAAAAATCTCATTTTGTCTTCCTGATCTGACCAAAACTCTACAAGACAAGGTGCTGCCAATTTTTATTTTTACAATAAAAATTGGTTATATTTTACTGTTTTGTGTGTGATTTTCTAATGCGACACATATGACTGCTTCGTCAACAAACAAACAACAGGCTTTTGCTGAATGTTCTGCTCACATCTCAGGCCATAATTCAAATATAAAAAAATACATTTTCATTCTAATAATCAATTTCTTGAGAATTTACAAACTTGCAGCCATTTTTAAACATATTTTAACAGTCTACAGAAGTGGACTGTCACTGTGCTCATGTATAAAATATTTGATGTTTAATCGTATTTATACTTTTAATATAAGCCATATAGCATGATGATTACTTTTGATAAATATAAGTACTACAACAGAACTTTTAGATTCAAAGTATTACAAAAGTATGGTCAGTAAAATGTACTCAAAATTATCAAGAGTACAAATATTTGTTCGGCAGATTCGATGATTGCTGTGAAACACATACACACGTGTTATAAGCTATGAAAGGATTTTATTACTGCTTTAAATTATTACTTTTTTATAAATTATACACATTATTTAAATGATGTTCGTTCATGATGATAAGTATTTCAGTACCACATCAAATATATTTTATTTTAAAAGACAGAAGTTATTGTGAGAAAAAGTTTCTCAATGAAAACATAATAATATTTTATTCACAGTTATTCACAATGTTTTACTTCCATAAAGAATCTAAATGTTTATTCCACCACAGTTAAAATGTTTCACTTGAGAATAAAGGAGAAATGACACATGATGCAATCACATGCAACATGTGTGAAACATGTAAATTGCATGTTTCGTCACATGTTAGAATGAAGCAGGTGATTATCTGAACACTCGATAAAATAATATCTGTCAGTATAAATAGTACTGCATGTTTATCTCTTAATCTTAAGTATAAAGTGGAATAAGACTGAAATACAAATACCAACATGTACTTGCTTCTTGAGTTACTTTCCATCACTGTAACTTTCTTCAGTTTGATTTCTAACATGTATGATGTAACATGTAGAGATTTATAACATGTATGATGTAATAAGTAAAGATTTAAATAAATGTGTTTGTTAAAATAACTAAGATGAGAGAAAACAGTTTTTTTTCTGCACTACGTCATCATGGTGCAGCTGAATTTTACGGTCCGCCATTTTAGGTTTAACCGGAGACATTACTGAGTGACACCAGGAAGTGTCTCCTGCTCCTAACATCAACGACAGAGAATGACACCGTGAAGAAGAATTTATAATTTATAAATGATAACACTGTACAGAAGAACACTATAAAGAATACATGATAAATAATAGAGTATGAATAATAGATTATAATACAGAATAAATTGTGAACAATAATATTTTCAAGAATAACATTATACAGAATAAAGTACAAAGAATAAATACGCTATACAGAATAACACTATAAAGAATATAGTATATAATATATAATTATAGAGAATAAATTATAAATAATAATATGAGAGGGGCAGGTTATTTAAGATGTTTCTTCTTCCTGCTTCTTTTTCACTCTTACAATGTGTAGTAGTATGTTTTTGTAAAATTGATTATGGATTAAGAAGAACTAACATTTCTAGATTAATCTTTATGTAACATTAAAAACATGTGAGAGCATGAAAACATTTCTTCATTAAAACAAATAAATAAGATAATTAGTCCCACAATGGGGAAATCTGCAATATAGGTAACATGCAAATACTTTAGAGTAATAATAATATTTAAACGTGAGGAAATATAAAAACTATATTAGAGTATGAATGGAATAGACAGTAAAACACAGTGTGAGAATTGTTGTGCACTGATCATTGATTGTGTTTGTTGTGGTCCAGCCACATGTGATGACATCTTCTATTTATAACATGTGCACAGATCATTAAAATCCTTTTCAGGACATTTTATTTTCATCTTCTTCTTGTTGTCACATCGAACGTGTGACCGGTCGCCGCCGCCGTCGTCACTTCCTGGGCGTTTCCATGGTGACATCAGAAGGCCGCTGCGGATCTGACGGACACGTAGATCTTCGTTCTTCATCAAAACAGAACAGACGGACAAACTCCGCAGAACCGACAAACCGACCCGAAGCCTCAGGTAAGCTCCGCCGGGACCGTTCGTGGCCGGTCGTCTCCGGAGGACCGACGTGTGTCCTCCGCGGAACCGAACACGCGTCGAATTGTGTTGACAGACGTTAGCCAGCTAGCTTGTTTGACGCTAGCTGGTTAGCCACTGTAGCTGCTAACGCGATATTCCGATGCGTCAAACCCCAGTTTTTGTTTTTTTTAAATCTCGTGTCGAGGCCCGTGAGGGAACTTGTCGTTAGTTTACCACTCGACCTGACGTGGATTCACTCCAGCTGCTAAACAGACTCAGCGCCGACAGCAAACCACAGCGTGTTAGCAGAAGCTAGTTAGCTCGCTAGTCGTGTTTCAGTGCTGGTTTTACGGTCCCAGCGGCCCGATAGTTAGCGAGATAACCTGTTACGTAAGTCGGCTAATGTTTCACAAAGTGCGCACTTTGCTCAGCAACACGCAGCACCGACACGAAGCACCGACACGCAGCACCGACACGAGAAGAGTCGAGCGGAGACTCGCTAATGTCTGGACGTGTTATTGTGTGAAGTCAGTGAAGTGAAGTTCACAGAGGAAGTGACAAGTCAAAATAAGGAAATGTAGATAAACTCTCGCTTTACTTAGCGAAAGTACACGAACACGAGTTCCACTGTTACATTCATCTACTGTCAGTTTGTGTCAGCATCATCCAAATGTCTGTTTGCACCGTATGACTTTATTATAATATCATATAAATCAGTTTTACACAGGAAACCACAGCGTTAATAAGTTAACTAGTTATCTGGATGTGTTTACTGTGAGTAACTGTAAAGCGAATCTTCATTAATTGATGAGGACCCGTGTAAAAGTACAGTAATATTAGTTTATGAGTACAATGTGTTGAAGTACGTCACAATATACAAAACTGTTCTATTCATCTTTTATCAGTACTTTCAGTTTCATCCAATGTGTGTCACGATTCTCACGTCTGCTTTCATTTCATCTATTTATTCAATTTGTGCAATTTCATTCCGTCATGTGTGAAATACTCATCTCTGTTTGAACCATATTTATATATTCTTTACTCCATCAAGTGTTTTACTTTACACAGCTTCTGTGACGAATGAATATAAAGTGAATCCAGACTCTGTTGTCCTGATCTGTAAACATTCAGATTAGTCGATGATCTACGACGTCATGTGACCAGTCATTGTTTAGTAGTTGAATGTGTAACTGTGTCACATGGGAGAACTGATGCTGGGTTTTGTATCAGAAACAACATGAAGTGAATAAAAACTCTCTGCAGATCCTCCTGGTGCCATCATGAACGTGTTTGACCGCAACATCAACTTTGACTCCCTCTTCAAGTTCTCCCAGATGTACGTAAGCACGCAGTCGACTGTTATACGATGTATTTCCTGTGTGTACTAGATTTGCTTTGGAGTTTCAGTGTCTCATGCTCAGTTCGTTGTAATCTCTTTCTGCAGATCTCACTCCACTCAGGTGCACTTGAAGAATGTGTACTCCAGTTTGGCAGTTTGTATGTTTGTTGCCGCCGCTGGCTCCTACGTCCACGTCGTCACACGCCTCTTTCAGGTAACAAGATACAGCGTGTACTGCAGCAGGTTGTTCCTTATCATCAGTACTAGTTTTACTAGCTTGATTCACTGAAATGATTAGCTCCACCGCTCACAGTAAACCCAGTCCTTGTGGATTCATCCTGCAGGACATTTCAGTTTTAATATCTTGATCCTGATGCTTTGCATTTTTTAATTAAAGAACAGTTGTGACAGGATCTTTGAAACATGTGTCGATTCACTGTGCAGCCTCGGTGTTGCTGCTCTCATGTTCACCGTGTGTGTGTGTGCTTGTTGTCAGGGCGGCATGCTGTCGGTGCTCGGCTCCCTGGGGATGATGTTCTGGTTGGCCATGACACCACACAACTCTGAGACGGAGAAGAAGAGACTGGCCATCCTCGCAGGATTCGCCTTCCTCACAGGTAAACCGATGACGCTGTGGGTGGAGCAACTATTCACTTAATTGATCGACAGAATTTTGATAATTGATTAATCAGTTAAATTATTTCACTTTGCTTAACCCCAAGATTCTTTATTGTCCTTATGCTGCTACAGACAACAACACAATGATATTACCATGGCAACCCCTGGGATTTAGAGAAAACTTTACAAAAAGAGAAAGATACAAATGTACAAATATCAAAAGTATAAAGGTGTAAAGGTCGTTGAGATTCCCCCCCGTTCACAAACGATGAATCGGTCTTACAGCAGTGTTTGTCTTCCTTTGTCTCCAGGTGTCGGTCTCGGCCCCACACTGGACTTTGTCATCGCCATCAACCCGAGGTTTGTGAAGTTACTCAGTGCACGTGTGACGTGTTGAGGTCGTGTACACGTGTTCATGAAATGTGTTTGTTTCTCCTCAGCATCATTGTGACGGCTTTCCTCGGGACCTCTGTGATCTTCGTCTGCTTCACCCTCAGCGCCCTCTACGCCAAGCGCAGGAGCTACCTGTTCCTCGGAGGTAAATCACCTTGTCAATGTTGTGACCTCAAACTTTTTATGTTTTATTTTCCAACTTTACACTTTTTTTTTTCATCGGAGAAATTCTATTTTATATTAGCGATACATATCTCCTTTGTGTGAACGAGACCTTTTGTTGGATTTCCTCTCTTCTTTATGTGTTTGTATGAACTGGTTTTTCCCGTCAGGCACCCTGATGTCTGGTCTCTCCATCCTGTTCCTGATGTCCATGATGAACATGTTCTTTGGATCTGTGATGCTGTTCAAGGTTGTTCCATCGTCTCGCTGAAGCTTTGACAGGTCGTGTGTCACGGTGGATGTGTCACTCATTTGTGTTTTGCTCTGTGACAGGCTCACATGTACCTGGGGCTGCTCATCATGTGCGGCTTCGTCCTGTTTGACACTCAGCTCATCATCGAGAAAGCAGAGAACGGAGACAAGGACTACGTCTGGTGAGGATTTACATTTTATCAACAAAACAGAATCCAAGTTACAGGTGCACAGATTTAAGAGTGAAAGTTTTCGATGCCACACCTGCAGCTGTTTGTCTGCGAGGACGTAAAAACATAATGAACCACAGCGGCAGCTCAACGTGCAGGAAATAACGCTGCACTCACAAAGTTAGACTTGTCCTCTGATTTGAGAAGTGGTAAAATGTTCGGTTCATTATGAAACTGTGGCGAGACAAATGAAAAACTAGTGGGTGGCCCCAGTCTAGATACTTAACGTTAAACACTGGAGTCGCAGCTCTTAGATCTAGATCTCTGTTTAATAGACACTGAATGATTCCAGTTACAATCTGATTCTGAAACAGACTTCCTATCTTTTCTTTCCAGGCACAGTGTGGATCTGTTCCTGGATTTCATCACCATCTTCAGGAAACTTATGGTCATCCTCGCTTTGAACGATAAGGTACATTTTTAAACTTGAAGAGTAAATCAGCTCCTTCCCCATGTTTTTCTTTTTATCAGTAAATTCAGAATAAAATAAACGCGTGGTTCAGGCTCTCGCGTATGTTGAATACTCAGTCGCTGCTGCTACACATCGCTGGTTTATACTTAAAAGAATAAAAGATCGAACCGTCGTTGTATGTGAACAATACTCTTGAAGCAGCAGAGGTGTTATATGATATTTAAAAGTTTTCTAGAACTAAATCAGAGTAATGTGAGAATAAGAGCTTTAACTTTCTGTGACAAATGTTTTTTTATTCTGTGTTTTTCCTCCAGGACAAGAAGAAGGAAAAGAAGTAAACAACGTGTGAGAAGCTGGAATTTACAGTATGAAAAAAAAAAATCAGTAAAGGCACAATTTGCGGCGCACTTGGTGCTTTTCACTTTCTTTCTTTCTGTCTTCATTTCTTGAATTAACTCCTCTGTGGTCTTATGTTATTGAGATTTCTTCGATTTATTTTGAAAACTTACAAGAAGGGTTGAATGTAAGTTTGTGGCGCACTAATGCTAATTCCATTTTGGCTGTAAACGGAGAGTAGACTAAAGCTGCAGTGATCTTGCTTGGCCTGTAGAGGGAGTCGTTGCTCTATGAAGGCAGTGCTCATTGAGGATTTTTATATTACTGTTCTTTAGTGCCATAAGTTAACGATAGGCTCCTGTTAGTGGCTCGTGAGCTTCTAAAAGTGATCGTTGTTTAATTCCATCTTATGTATTTTTGTTTTCTCGTTGATTTGCTTATTTATAGTTTCCCTCAGGCTTCTCTAGTGACGTGTCACGAGATAAAGTGTCCCACGATTCAGACAACAGATCCCGTTTCTCAGAGTTCCTGCTCTATTGTTTTTTGTTTTTTTTCCCCTCATTAATTGAGTTTTGTGAAAAACGTTTCGAGAAAGAGCGAAGCCTGATAACGTCAACACGACAGACCCTCGGACTGATTTACTCTCTCGCCTGCAGCGTGGTCTTTGTTTCCCGGCTGCTGGAGGAGGACGAGCCGATGCCATCTGTTGAAAATTTTTTATTTTAAGCAAAGACAGGCGACTTGTTCCAAACCGCTCCCCCTGTAAATTTCTCCAAATATCTGTTGTCCAGAAGTTAGTTTGCCAAATGACACAAATCTTACAGTTTGGCATCGGTAAATTTCTTTTTGGGGAAGTGTATACTGTGAAGAATTTATTTTATTGATGTAAAATTGAAACTAATACTTTGATACATTTGCTCTAATAAATGTGTTGAACGTATGTAAAGAAAGAGAAGGCGTCCCTGCTTCTTTATGACTCGGTGAAGGAAGATGTCAAATCATTTAGTACAAGTGATATCTTTAAAAATACTCAGTCGCCATCAGGGAATTGATTAACTGTGAGAAAACTCAATTATCTGTCAGTAAATGTCACAGATATTCAGATTAACTCATTTTCTTTGTCCTGTATGTTTCTAACCAAGAGAAAACAGAGACTGAGTTAACTGATGATGGAAATGATCACGAGCAGCAGCCGTAAAAATTTTATTTTAATTTATTAGGAGCTAAATTTACTTGGAGCTTTAAAAGTGAAAGATTATCATCCTTATATTTTTATGTTATTGTGACGGTTCCCTTTCATTATCAATGTGTAACTGTGAGTAACTACATCTGTCAAATGAAGTGGAGTGAAAGTATCCAGAGAGAGTGGAGAGCAACAAGTCGGTGGTTCGATCCCCGCCCCCCCCCCAGTTAGAATCTGCTCCAGAGGTTTCTGTGTAAAGCTGCTGACAGACAAACAGACGGGGGTGAAATCACGACCTCCTCGTTAGAGGTAAAAAAAAAAACGACAAAGACGTAAATCAAAACATTTTAATTAGAAAGTTGAAAAACGGCAGTAGGTACAGAGGACCTCTAGTGGCTACGGAACAAACAGCAACAGATGTTGAAATACAAGGTGTGAACATAAATCTACGAAGCGAGGAGACGGCAAGTGTCACAGAGAGAGAGATTACAAAATAAAAGACGACTGCAGATGATGAACATTTAAAATAAATAAATAATAGAAATACATATTCATCGAATAGTGTAGCCATTTCTCTTTTCTATGTAATTATTGCTGGTATATATTACCTTTAAATGTAGCATGATTTCAAACAGACATATTCTGACGACCGTCCTCGGCCACAAAAACAATATCAACATGATCAATAAATCGTTTGTACATTTAAAGTTGTGAGTTGAGCGATAGAGAATCACAGACATGAACATTCAGTTTTTATCAGAGCTCCTTGTGTTTTTAGTTTTTTTTTTTATTTATGTTTTTTTTTTCCAGTACTTGATGTGATGGAACGATGTCGAGAACAGAGCGGACGTGTTGACACAGTTCGTCGGCTTCACCGCTTCCTCGATGACCGGGATGAGAAAACAAAAGACTGAAGAGGTTGCCGAACGGTTACCGGGAGCGACGGCGTGTTGTGCTAATCATGAGCGTGGCCATGCGTCTTGTAGTCCTGTACATTAGTTAAAGAGAAGCGTCCACAACCGAGTCTGATTGTGGAAAAAGTGAACAATCGATTATACTTGGGCGACTTTTGGCTTCACGTTTATTTGAAATCCTGAGGAGAAGTCTATCGATCCATCTTTCCAGTGGGATGGAAAAGCTGATGAGACGTCACCTGATTATTCTTTGCGGACATCAACGGGGCGCGGTTCTTTTCCTCGAAGGCGGCGGCGGCGGCGGGTCGGCAGCATCGCAGCACAGCCAGCGACCAGGAGACGCGTTCGGAGCGGCGCCGTCGTCTTCGGAGTATCTGTCTCCCACGGTCGTCTCCGGGGATCATCCTTGGCTGCCGCAGGACGACAGGCTGTCGTACAGAGAATCGCTCAGAGACTCGGGCGTCTCCAGGACCTGAGGGCGGCTCGGAGAGAGGGCTTCCTCCGGCCTCTCCCTGAGCAGCTCCAGCCCGGCGTCCCGGCTCATCTCGGGGACGCTGGGAGTGCGAGTCTTTCCCCTGCGGCTCATCCCCGACTGGGCAGGGACGGGGAGGCTGCAGGGGTCGACCACCCGGCTGGAGGAGGGGCCGCCGGCCTTCACGCTCTGGAGAGGAAAACGACAGTTTTAGGTCACGTGTGTCTCATCTTACGCAACATCGTCAAGTGGGTTACAGAACTCGCCCGAGTGTGAATCTTTAATATTCAGCTGATTAATAATTTGTAAAGGGAGAATATGGTTCTGTGGTTTTATGTAAGACGCCAGAGCAGATTTAAAAATGTATCTCGACTTCACTGCAAAGAGACTTTTCTCTGTGGAAGATAAATAAAGCTCCATCTTATTTCTACTTTAGTTTCAGTCAGTCAGTGACTCACTTCCTCTCTTCTCTGAGGTTTTTATGAAGCGTCGACAAACAAACCATAAAATCATAATGAATTTAGAGAATCAAATTGAATATCGGAGTCATTTACAGTAAATAGCAGCTAAATATCAAGAATGAACGAAGATTGTGAGAGAAAGTAAACACAACACAACTCATTTGTTTCACTTGAACCCGACCTACCCCTCTGAACTGTGATCCGAACGTCACCGCCTCCTCCTCCTCCTCCACCGCCAGGTACACGTCCGCGGGTCCTGCCGGAGTCTTGAGGTTCGGGAAAGTCCAGGTTTTGGAGCGAGGAGAAAACATGTTCGCTGCGTGAGCGTCTTTGTCTGGAGATGAAAAGAAAAACTTTACGTCTCTTACCCACAGAGGTTTTCTACGAATGCGTCGGTCGTGTGTGTGTGTGTGTGTGTGTGTGTGTGTGTGTGTGTGTGTGTGTGTGTGTGTGTGTGTGTGTGTGTGTGTGTTTGTTTGTTAAGTGGGACAGTTTGTCGGCACCTTCACGGACGACGCCGGCCGAGCTCCGTCCCTCCAGCACGGAGCCGTACTGGATGGTGGGAATCAGCTGCTTGTGCGGCGTGTAACACTCGTCCTGCGACGGCAGCTCTCGGTCCAGGGTGCGAGCTCGTCGCCCGGCCCTCCCCGGGGAGCCCGAGGAGTGGTGCTCGGCCCCGGCCCTCGCCTTGGACAGGCCCCGTCCTGCCGCACCGCTGCTGCAGTCGGGCAGGGGGAACGTGCCGATGCCGCTGTCCAGCGTGTACGTGGAAGCACCGGAACCTGCAGAGGAGAGAAAGAAGAGAGAGGTTAAAGGGATGAATCAGTGAAACGCTCACATCATTTAAACTTTAAAAAGGCTCCATTGTTCATTTGATCTTTTTCTGCAGCATCAGAATCGATTTTCCTCGATGCTCAGAATCGATGCTCTTGTTTGTTGACCCTCTGATATGCTAATAAAAGTGTGAGCCAATTAATTTCCCCTCAGAATGGAAATTATGTTAAAGAAACTACAGTAAAAAAAAAAAACGTGGCGTCTGTGACTCTTACCTGCGAAGTGTTGGGAGTGAACTGAATCTGCAAGGTTTTCATCTGACGTGATTTTGCCGATTCTTTCTGATCCCTGCACGAAAGAACGACAGCGAGTGAGAGTCGGCTCCTCACGTCCACCTCTTTTGTTTTGTTGCGTCTCACCTTGAGACACTGTCGGTGTGAGTCTACAGAGACGTGATCGGACGTACCTTCTCCGTGTCGTCTCGACTGGTCGTGTGACTGATGACGTCGCTGTGCTGAGCAAACACCGGTTTCGAGGTCTTGCAGTCGAACGAGAGCCGGCGCTGGGGCACGCTGATCACCTCCTTCCCGTCCACTCTGTCGGGCGTCAAACACAAACGTTCAGTTAAAACCTCGGAATCTTCCTCCCTCGTCCCGGCGGCATCAGGATTGTTGTGTATTATTATTGTGTTTTCACTGCAGTTTGATTTTTTTAGCAGGATGATGCAACAGTGACTCAGTTTCTCCTGAAACCTGGTGGAAAGATGAGGAAACCACATTTTCTCAGGAAATTTCAAGATGTTGAAAAAAAAAACATCCTATTTCACTAAATTCCCCGAATCCGCCCCCTGATCCTGATCAGTCGAGTCCCACCTCCAGTAAAATTTCATGGAATCAGTGGAGAGGCTTTTGCATAATCCTGCTACTTAACAAACAAACACACACTCAGAGGAAAACACGACATCCGCCAGAGGTGGAAACACAGAGACGAGTATCGTGTCGTCTTGATTATTCTTATTTTGTTTCTGTGCAGTGCTAAATAAAGATTCAAATTCAAATCCTTATCCAGATCTGCACAAACGACAGAAGCACTTTACAGACGATTTTATTTCATGAACATCTGCGCGAATTATTGAGAAACACCAAATCTCTCAACGTTAAATCAAGACGAACTAAATTCCTCCACTTTGTTTTTGGTGAATATAAACTGGAGCGAAGGTAAAGAGGCACAAACAGGGTCAGAGGGAACTTTAACAAAAAACTCTGAGCTTCGAAAACTGTGAGATGAGTCAAGGTTGTGAGATGAGTCGAGTTCAGACCGAAATAAACTGATGACACAGACGAAATGTTCTTTTTCAGTTCCGGATGAGTCTCAATAAGATTTACATTCGACTAACTAGACACGACCGTGACCAACAGTTTGTGTCCTGCCCCGATAATGAAGTCAAACGTCTCTTTTAAATCTCCTCGTTGTTGTTTGGTTAATTTTAGAATCCGCTCGTCGTGTTCTCACCTGTTCAGCAGCTGCTGCATGAAGTTGTCCGAGCGCGCTCCCCTGTACATGACCGCCAGCTGTCCCTGAGCCGGGTCCATCACCACCTCGCAGGAGTGACCCCGGCCCGACCTCTCCACGTACGCCCTCTCCTCCTCCAGGGCCCGACGCAGCCCCTCCGCCTTCTCCATCAGGGTGGAGATGTTCAGACCCTCCACGCCCTCTTTACACCTGGTGGCCATTTTCACCGAGTCCCTGCCGACCGACGGGATGTTTATCTTCCACTCCTTCTTCTCGTCCTTCGCTTTGGTGGCGTCGGCCTTTCGGCTCAGCGCGGGCAGTTTGCTCTTCTTCAGGCCGAACCAGCTGGCGATGCCGTTGGAGGCCTTCTGCTTGACCTCGGTGCTCTGCCCTCCTCTGTCCTGCTCCTGAAGCTTCAGCACGTTCTCCTCGATGCCCTTCATCACCTTCTGCTCGATGGCCGACTGCGGGCAGGGCACCGGCTGCGAGGGCTTCTCCCCCTCCGAGGTCGGGGGTCTGGGAGGAGGCGGCGGGAGGCTGTCCCCATACATGGGATTCTTTTTCCCTTTCCCGCTGATCTTGGTCCTCTCTTCTGATTTGGACGAGTAGCGTGGGGCCTCTGGGGGCTTCCCCCCTCGGTGGACAGACGGGCCCTGGCAAGGTTTGGACGGCGACTTCGGGGGGATTTTGTTGGGGCTGCTGTTACTGTGAGGACCAGGTTTAACGTTATACCCCAGATTCAAGGAGCCGGGACACTTGATGTTGTTGCGTAGAACCTGCGGAGCGTCTGCGTTGGGGGACGGCAGACCGATTCTGCTCTTGGGTCCTTCGGTCTTCATCACACACAGCTCTGGTTTAACCACAGCCGGAGCAGGAGGCTGAGGTTTAACGGCCTGATCGTAGAGCTGAGACGACCCCGGATACTTCAAACCGACGCCTCCAGCTTTAGGTTTACTATCCAGAGAGTCTGTGTACTTCGAATGTCTCTGCTCCTCTTTGAGTTGCTCCACCGGCCTCTCCCCCGTCTTACTCCGCTCCTCGCCGTAGGAAGCGTCGCCCGCTGTGTCGACCGGACGGAGGCCGACCTGTAGATCCTCAGAGCTCCTCAGCTTCCCCAGGGCAGCCAGCCTGTCTTTGAAAGCATGGTGACTGGAGTCAGCCTGGGATCTCGCCGCCCCGGCCGCGGGCCTCTTGGGGATAGAAGAGGAGTCGCTCCTCCTGGCCGGAGGAGGAGGCGGCTGCTGAGCGACCTCCGAGCTCGGCACGGGGACCTCCCTTATGTCAGGCTGCGGTTTCTCTCTGGCTCGTGAGTAGTTGGCTCTGCCCTGAGCTTTACTGAGGGCGGATGAGTTGGGCAGGCTGTGATGGTTCACCCACACCGGGCTGTCTGAATCCTCTTCATCGTCCGACGTGGACTCCGACGTGGAGGAGGAAGACTGCTTTCGCTGAGGGGGGGGATTCATTGCGCTCTCTGGGAGCGATTTCACGAGCTTCCTCTCGCCGCCGTTAGCCTTCGCTTGCGATGGAAGAGTGGTTCTTTTCTCGAGGCCCTGGGTTGGTTCCTCCTCCCTGGCGTTGGTAGACAAATCACAGACATTTTCATAATGAGGGACCCTCTGGGAGACTTTGGGTGAGGAAGAGGAGGCGGAGGAAGGTGTGCTCATCTTTGAGTTAGCGCTGGCTTTAGGTGCAGACAGGCTGCTGTAGCTTATTTCCTTAGCGGGCGAGGAGCAGACGTCTTCAGGCTGCGGAGGGGAGGTGGGTGCCGAGTGTGTGGCGGGGTAGGACTCAGACCTGCATGGAGGCGGAGGGGGCTGCCTGCACCTCTCTGTGGTGGTGGCTCGGCGCGTGGGAACAGGGGAGTGGTACACCTCGTAGTTGTTGGTGCGACAGGGGATCCTGGAGTTGCGGGTGAGCTGGGGGCTCAGACGGACGGCAGCGGTTGAAGCCTGAGACTTCTCCCCGATCGAGGGAATCTTTAAAAACTTGAGCAGTTTGGACGGGGAGTTGATGGCGGCGGCTTTGACGTCGCTGAGGCAGGAGGGGCTGGGGCTGACGGAGGCACCGGCTCTCACAGAGGAGGCCTCCGGATCCACGCCGTCTTTCTCTGCGAAGGAGGAGGGGTCATTCGTGTTGTTGTTGATGGAGGAAAGCGCCAGACCATTCAGAACGCCGTCACTCATTTCCATGTCACAGTGGGAGATTTCCTTCACAGACGTTTGCAGGTGGGTCGAGGGACAGAAACCGGTGAGCTCCTCTGAGGCGTTGAGACGACTCTCCGCTGAATTATCCTCCTGCTCCGCCCCCATCACCTCCAGACTCTGATCCGCTGCCTCTGGGGCCGACGGGTGGGCGGAGGCGCCTGCTGGTTGCTGGTGGGCTTCATTCTTGGTGCTTTGTTTGGACGGGGGAACAGACTTACTGTAACATTCGCTCGTAGTAGCCGCAGGAACTACATGGCTCTGGGTGGCGGAGTTGGGTTTTGAAGGACTACAGACGTGGTTGCATGGCTTCGGAGGAGCGTCGGGGCTCCGCTTGCAGTGTAAACAGCAGGTGTTCCCTCCCTCGCACTTCACCGCCCCGTCGCCGTTGACATGCGGGTGTGCGTCGGCGTCAGAGCAGGAGCAGCGGCAGTGCGTGTGGAGGGATTTGCACTGTAAGGGAAGAGGGTCTGCGGTGGCCAGAACCGCCTCCGTGGACATGAGCACTTGGCTGTAGTCGCAGAAAGACAAGCTCGCGGTGGACGGGTGGAACTTCAGAGGGTCGGTCTCCTCCATCTTGCGCAGGACCTCCAGGATGTGTGCTTTCTTCTTGAAGAAGGGAGACAGGGCCTCCATGGAGGCGGCGGGGCCACGGGGGCCCGGGGAGGCATGTTGTGTGCGGTAGCCATTTCCCTGCGGAGAGAAAAACGATCTTTATCAACGCGCAATTCATCGAGACCTTTGAGTGCATGCGTACAGGAAGTGAGTGCGGGGGGGGGGGGGGGAGATTAGCAGCAGAGGTCTTGTTTTAAAGAACAGTTGAAATGTCAGCGTGCTGTGACGTCACAGACGGACAGAGTCACTGAGGGATGATCACCTTGGCTTGTGCTTCAGTCTGTGCAGGCTCCACCTGTTTGGCGGAGTCGTTGTGCAGCTGTGCATTGTATTCTGGGAGGGGTCCCGCGTGCACCTGAAACAGGAGATTCACGAGGTAATGACACTGAATACACCGAGAGGCCATTTTATACACGGAGCTACATTGTCCCGACAACTGCGGGGACAGAAAAGACCGAGAGTGAAATGATTAAAAATCACACACACACACACACACACACACACA